GCCCTCATTTTGGCCCGTTTGTGAAAGCGCGCGCGGCGGCCGCGGGTCCTCGGGCGCGCGCGCGGCCGCGTCGCTCTCGCGCAGAGATTCAACTTTTGGCCCCTCATGGGCCTCCGTGTGAACCTGTGCGCCGGGACCCTCCGCCGTCTGGGAACCGTCCGTAGGGTCGGAGCCAAGCTCGACAACCCCATCTCCCCCGATCCCCTCGTCAAAGATGACGTCCCGGGAGATGATTAACTTTCCGTCACGGTCCCGGAGCAACCTGTACGCCTTCGAGTCCGGCTCGTACCCCACGAACACACATCGCTCGCTCACCGGATGTAGCTTACGCCTCCGCTGCTTGGGGACGTGGCGGAACGCTCGGGCCCCAAAAACCCTCATATGCCCGACATTCGGTTTTTCACCGAAGAAAACTTCCCAGGGAGTCCTCCCATGGGCGCTCACGGGGGTCCGGTTCCGGGTGTAGTTGGCCGTCACCACGGCTTCCGCCCACAACTCCTTGGCCAACCCCGAGTCCTCAAGCATTGCCCGGGTCTTTCCCTCCAGATCCCGGTTAAGCCGTTCCGCCGACCCGTTCTGCTCGGCGCTATAGGGGGCGGATTTCTCGTGTACCGTCCCCTTATCCCCAAACACGTCTTCAAGGGCCTTGTTGACGTACTCCTTTCCCCGGTCCGTCCGCACCGACTTGAGCTGCTTCCCCGATTGCAACTCCAACCGGTTGATCACGTGCTCAGTGACCTTGGCCACCTCGCTCTTCTGCTTCATGGGGACTACAACCGAGAGCTTCCTGTAGTCATCCAAGAACGTGGCAAAGTACCGGCTTCCCCCTACCGAGGCTACCGGCATTGGCCCGCAGACGTCCATGTGGACTAGCTCAAGAGGCTCCGTGCTCACCGAGTCGGATTCAGGGAAGGGGAGCCTAGTTTGCTTCCCCATAATGCAGGGCTCACACACCGAGGTTTTCAGCGCCCGGAACGCACTCGGTTTCACCCCGACCCCCTCCACGAGGTCGCCCTGCACCATTTTCGCCAAGTTTTCGTACCCGGCGTGCCCCAATCGTCGGTGCCACAGCTCCGCCGTTTCCGGCTTCTTCACAAGGAAGCACGTCTCCTTCTCCGCCCGGTTGACCACATAGACCCCCTTCACCTTTCGAGCCACAAGGACTACCTCCCCGTCAACCTCAAGCTCGCAGTTGCCGTTCTCTTTGAACAGCACTGACGCAACCTCGGTGGCCTTGCTCACCGAGATCAAATTCGCCGCCACCCCCGGGACATACATCACGTTCTGCAGAGTGACAAGACTTTCTCCGGTCGGTGTCGCACACCGCAGCTCTACCGAGCCGCTCCCCTCTGCCCATAGGGTTCCCTTGTCCCCGAACGTGAACTCTCGGCCACTCCCCCCGAACATTTCGAGGGTCTCAAATAGGCTCTTGTCCCCGGTTAGGTGTTGGGAGCTACCCGAATCGACGAGCCACTCGTCGGTCGACACCCCCTCAATGACGCTAAAGGCCACACCCTTGGGAGGTTTCCCCCCCTTCTTCTGCTCCGGCTTGTGCTCCCGCCTATCCGGCTTGCTGCACTTCCGAGCAATGTGGCCAAAGTCCCCGCAATTATAGCACTTGGGACCTTTGCCCCGGCTCTCATCCTTGCCGTGGACTTTCTCCTTCCCTTTCCGCCTGGCCACATAGGCCACTGCAGAGTCCGACCCACCGCCGCCCTTTTCCTTAGGCGACTCTTCAAACCCCTGCTCATGCACCAAGAGCTTCGGCAGAATCGCATCCACCGAGCTAATGGTGCTCTCCGAAGCCTCTAGGATTGTTCTCAGGGTACTGAACGACTTGGGCAATCCCGCAAGCACGCTCCATGCCAACTCATCCGGCTTCATCTCAAAACCGGTGGCGACCAGGTCCCTATACAAATCCTTAGCCCGACCTACATACATGGTCACGGGCTCACCCAACTTCATCTTGAGAGAATGCAACTCTTGCCTGAGCTGCATCTTCCTTGCATTGGTTTTGCTCTTGTAGGTCTTCTCAAGGAGATCCCACGCCTCCTTTGCGGTTTTGCACTCCTCAATCGACCCCAGATGGTGGTCCTCAACGTTTAGCCCGATGATGGACAACGCTTTCTTTGATTGAGCAGGGTGCGCCACGGGGTCCTCAACCCCGTTCCATAGATCCTTGGAAGTTAGAAGAAACTTAATCTTCGAACTCCACGTTCTGTAGTTCTCCACATCCAACTTATCGATGTGGACCTTGTATCCGTCGGCCATTTTAGAGATTGCGTTCCCTTTCTCTCTTTCTCAGGACCTAAGGTGGAAAATTTCCTGTTAGGCTCTTCCTGCCACTTGATCCCCCTTACGGGCTTTCAAATGTCGCTGTGCTCAAAGAGCATCCACGATAAAACAGACCGCCCCCACCGATGCCTTCATTGACAAGAGAGAACCATTGGCCGACCTTGGCGCACACATTCAATTTTCACCCTCCCGGAGGCCTACTATTGAACGCTTGCGCCTTCACTCCTCAGGCGCCGTGGTGCGCCGTCTGTGCGCCGTGGGCCCATAACC